AGGAAGGAAGGAAGGGTAACAAAAAGCAAACTTTTTGAAGTTCAGTTTTACAAGAGTCCACATAAATTGATGTATCTACTTTGGAAAACTGTTTGGCAATGTCTACCAAAGATGATTATTTGCGGTGACCCTGTGACTCAGCAAATTCATTCCTAGCTATATATGCCAAAAAATAAAAATAAAAAATAAACACATGCATATGTTCATCAAAAGGCATGTTCTAGAATATTCATCAAAGCTTTATTTATAATTGCTCCAAACTGGAATCTACCCAAATGCCCCTCAACACTTGAATATATTGTGCAATATTCACACAGTGGAATTCTACACACCAATGAGAATAAATGATCTACAATTATAGTACGTACAATGATATAAATGAATCTCACAAACATAATTTCAAGTGAAAGGACCTAGGCACATGACCAATAATTCCATCTATGTAAAGTTCAAAAATAGGCAAAAAATATGCTATAAGAAGTCAAAATAGTGGTTATCTTGGGCAAGAAGGTAAGTAGGTAATGACTGAGGGGGTGTTAGGGAGAACTTCAGGGGTACGCATAATTGTATTTTTAAAATCTGAGTGCTAGTTCCATGAGCCTATTGAATTTATGAAAATTCATCAAACTGTATATTTATATGTACTTTTTATACATGTTTTTGCTTTAATAATTCTTTTACTCTCTAAGATTTAGGACCCTAAGTCATACTCTTTTTTTCTTTTTTTTTTTTTTCTGTTCTCTTTAAAGCATATGTATTTGAAAAAATCCTTGAAAAGAGAAATACACACTTTTTGTACATATTTTATACACAGTTAATTTTACTACTTGGAAGAATCTCAAACTTTTCTCTGAATACTTTCAGAAGCTAAATGAAAGTCCAGTTTTTAGTCTAGTAGACTACTTACTCAAGTTTTCTGGGCTAAACATGTTTGGTATTTTTATGATCATCACCTTCCAACTGGGCTTTGGATATGTTTATTATGTTATAGATCTTGGTTTAGAATGACACTTACCAAGACACAAGAGAGTGAAAACAGTGAGAAGTCATCATTTTTGTGAAATCTGCAATTAGGCTCAATTTTTAGCTTCTTGCTCCTGTATGACTTTCATCTAATAATTTTCCAGGAAATTATTTTGTGTCACCTTCAGATAACTACAATTTTGGCTTGCTCACCAGTTTAGGGGATGTTCTATTATTCTTTGTGCTATGAGTAATTAGATCTAAATTATAGACTTTATATTTGACATCCAAAAGTAAGTGTGCCAATGTTTCAAATACAAGGATTTTTTTACTTTCAGTAATAATTTTCTGGTGTTTAAAGCATAACTATTGTACTCACTTTGTTTCCTTTAACACCCAAATTATGAACTTTATACAAACTAATTCTATCTTGGTTCTGTGCATATAAATTAACATTGTTTATAAGCAATACTTACTGAGTTTAAGCAAAAATGCAGTCCAAAACCTTTGTAAGTTCTTGGATCAGTAACTTTAATCTATTACTGTTATAAATTCTCGAATAGTTTAAAACACATAGCAGAACATTTAAATGTCTTTTAGAGATATAATAAAAGACTTGATTAAAAAAAAAACTTTAGCAGTGAAAATTGTAATAAATCAACTTAATCTAATCTCCTACTGCATGGTCAGCAAGCTAAAAAATTATGTAATTTATGTCTTCACTTTTATTCATGCACAACTTCTCTTCTCTTAATTTATCTTACAGCTTTCTCAGACCACACAATACTCTTGGGATGCAGAGAAAGCTGGAGAGCTAAACTCCCAATGCACCACTCTCAGTGTATATACCTATCCTCACTGTGCACGCCTCTAATTAATAGCATTTATTTAATACTTCCTATGTGTCTAGCATTACTACCCTATGAAAGGGGTAGTTATTAATCCTTGCAATATCTCAATAGTTTCTTTCACTAATCACATTTGATAGTTGAGAAAGCCAAGGCACAAAGATTTAAGTAACTTACCTACAGTCTCAACACTTGCAAGTCACGAAGGTATACATAACAATTCCATCCCAGGCTCTGTTACTCCACACCTATTACACTACGCTGTCTCCAACTAATAGGAACTCAGGTACAAAGACAAATTGAGCCCACACAATACTATCTGTGAATCTGGCCCTTGCTGTGCTGTTCACTAATACTCCACTTCTGTCTTCTAGATTCTAATGAAAATTCTAGCCCCCCATCCTTATTCTGTGGAGCAGCCCTTACCGCTGGCACTCAAATGGAGCACTCTCACTTCATTCTATAAAAGAGCGGGAGCTTTAGACCTTTTTTTCATCATCACAGAAGCACCTCGGGTCAGGGTTTAGAGAATTCTGAATTTTGATGCATTTTTTGTAGGATATTCTATTGCTGGCAAACTGGTTAATAACTTGGGCTTGTAGTACCATTCTAGAAATTCACTAGACAGTTAAAGAATTGATGTAACACAGACTCCTGAGTTAGCACAGAAAACAAATCTTGAGATTTCTGGGAGTTCGAAGTTCACAAAAAAAGTCAAAATTTATCAAATTGTAAATTAAGATGTTTTCTGAGTCACATGCAAACACAAATACTATTTCAAAAATGTTCAAATCATTAGAAAAACTAGACACTGCATATTCTCTAAAATTTATTTACAGTTAATAAGTTAAAAAGCAAAGTACAAGCAGATTATAAATCTTAACCATATGCACATCAAACTGTCCAGGGAAACACTTCGATTCCATTACAAACAATTGTTTTCTAATGCACTTAAGACATAATAGTCTATCAAAAAATATTTTAAACACACCAATAAAGTAAATATTAGGCATATACGTCCATTAAAAACCATTAAAGAGTCCTGTGGCAACCCTTAAAACAATGAAAAACTTTTGAGTTCAAAACTGCTCAGATATTTTGTATTCAAATATTTTTAAAATTTACTAAAGAGTTTTTTAAAAAATAGTACTATCATTTGCACACAGCAGATCCATAGGTGTCAGTCACCAGCTTAAGTTACGCTTGTCAATAGAGTATTCAAACTTGAACAAAATAAATACACACCACAACAGCGACACTTTGCACTATCAACAATGAAGCTTGGCGTCAACAATTATGATGTTACTGGTTTTAGTAACATAAAAATATGTTGCTGGTTGACCAAAAGGATAAAAATGACATCAGGAATCTCAAAAGGTTATGTGAGGTGCCAGTCACCACATTTAGGCACTCAGGAGTTAAAAATCAAATAAAAGCATAGCAAGGTGATGAATTTCCTCCTGGCTTCCCCTTCTACTTGTGCCATATGAGATATAAGAGAAGGCAAGAGAATGAATGAAGATCGTGGGATTTCTTTCAAAAGCTATACACAAGCTAAGTAAATTACAGACTTCACTTTAGAGGACAGTGAGTGGATGCCTCATCATAAAGGCCACTATGCCAAGTTTATTTTCACATTCGGCCCCAAAGTACCCATGAAATACTTTCACTTTCCTATTAGTGTACAGTCAACTATATAAGATTTTGCTTCACATTTTAAAAGTTGTAACATAGGTTTTTACCAGAGGAAACAGCAAAAATAAAGATATTTTACATCTTATTTCACAGACTAGAAATGGCATAATTTTTTAATAGCCCAGATGAACACCATATTGAATTCAAGATGAAAAATCAGATCCAAAATGGCATCAGATACCCCAAATAATCCAAATAAGCATTTAGGAGTTCAAGTAGGCTAAAGTAACAAGGCATAGGAGAGAAAAATGTCAAGAATCTCAGTTACAATAAATGAATGGTGTCAAGGGTTATGTCTCACTTGTGTGCTGAGCAGCTATCCTCCCAGGTAAGCCGAATTTCAAAATCCTCTGGAAAACTATCTAGATAAGCTATATGATGAAATTACATTCTAATATGGCCATTTGATTTATTTGTAATTATTATAAAACTATATACAATAGTGAAGTTGTACAAATACATTTTTTTCCAGGTGCTAGTTAGCTATAAAAGTTAACAATATATTTTTGGGAAGAAAACCCTATGCATCTGAAATACAATTGGTAATGGAAGCTAATAACCGAAAGAATATGTCTCAGCTTCCTATCACAAATATAATTTAACATTCTCCATCTTCTAAATAATTATTCATTTTTGTTTACTCATGTGACAGTGTTTGTAACAATGCATTATCATTGAGTAGTGAATAAAAGACCAAGGCTTACTAGAAAATTGGCATAAAGTTATACGTGTGTGCGTGTGTGTGTGTGTGTGTGTGTGTGTGTATTCTTTTAACAAAACAAAAACACTGAAATTAAAGTCACAACACTCTTATATGGACTACTAAACTTGAAATATTCATTTCAGAAAGCTATGCCATTTGAATTCTAGGAACACAAGAGTTAAAATTGCAACTCTCATTATTGTCCTAAGAAGCTGCCAAGCAGAGATAAACTTTAGCATTAAGGATTTCACATGTCAAGTTCCAGCCCAGTATGGATCGTTTTATGGCAGAATATTTAAATTTCAAATAATAGTGGTACAAAAACACTACTTGACCCTTTAGGTATTGCAGTAAAAGCTGGCTGTGGCACCACTGGCTAAAAACCATTAAGTCTTCCTGCCACAAATGACCAAAGGCACTTGGATAATCAAGAATTCCACACTGGGCCATATGGTATAAACACTATAAAAGCGTAAAGCAACAGGGTCAGTAACCTGCGTGGCTCGCCTGTTTAATTGCTGTGGTCTTCAGCTGTCAAAGACCTAGAACTGCAGACATGAGTGGCAAGAAGGTTAAAAAAATGATGGGACCAAAAAGTCAACTTAAAGTCAACTAATATTCATGATGTTTGTAAAAAATATTAGTCTAGACATTTCTTGTTATCCAACAACAACAAAAAAAGGAAATAGATTTTACCCAAAGTAACCTCAACCAGTTATTTGATATCAAGAAATGCCTCCACCCCTCTTGATCATTAATAGTTCTCAGAACTCTAATGGGTATTCTGTACATCATTTTAGTCATAATGTTTACACACAAGCATCTCTCCTATGCAAGTCCCATTTTAAAATACATTTTCCTTGTAATGTAATTTAAAATACATAATACTTTAATGCGTAATATTCCTGGATTTGTATGTTAGACCAGGAGAGGGGCCAAATGATCTCCAGTCAGATTCCAGTCACTCTTGCAACCAAAGCCGGTTCTTCCCAATTCGCTCATTTTTTTAATCACACGCCATATGGTTTCAATGCATTTTTTTTTATTCAATTCAAGAGAATTTAACAAGTTAATTTTTCCTAAACAAAAGTTTTCATGTGTATTCTACCATTTTTAGGAGCTCAGTAAATATAAACATTAAGTTTCAATACAAAACCTTTAGAAACGCCTTGAAAATGTTTAAAGTTATATTTTGCATGTCTTTGTTTGTAATCACTGAGCCCATACAAATCCTTACACTACTAACATTCACAAGCTTGAACCTCTTAAAAAATATCCTCATCAAAGCTTTGGAATCCAGTAAAAATTAGGAAACAAGTGGGCTTCAGAATACCCTGAGCACGAACTAGTGCAACACCACATGTTCGAACTTCTGTCCAGAAAGAAGGGTGGCAGTGAAAAAAAGGGAGAGATAAAGAGCAAGTAAATTCTGGCTTTATTATACAAGCACAAAACCAAATTCCTTTGGAAAAATAATGTCTTCTTCGGAGGACTTCCAGATCAGTGAGGTAGAGTCCAACAGGGAGAAAACCCTAAGGTCCTGGAGACGTCTCAATCTGGGGTCAGGAAGGGACCTCCCCTGTGGGTCCGGCTGTCCCCTCCATCTGCAGGCTGGGTGAGGGAGGCAGCAGAGGCCACACTTGCCCCGGAGTCCAAGACGACGGCGCCACGGCCCGGGGGCGCAGAGCAGGGACAACCATCTGGTGACTTCTTCGCGCATAAAGTGCACTGGGGGCCGGGGTCCTGGCCGGATCTGTAAACACTCGACTGACACTTGTTCATTCCTCCGGGCGGAAGCTCTGTCCCAGGGTCGGAGCCGGCAGGAGGCGCTACGGAGGCTGCGCCTCACGCTCGGGGCACCGGGAAGCGGCGGAGCCTCACCATGGGTTCCAGATTCACTTGCAGGATCTGACGTGCCCTGCGCCGCGCCGCCGCCAGGCTGCGCTCACCCCACACGTCGCTGCCGACGCGGATGGTGGGGAAGGTGGTCAGCGTCGGGGTGGCCGCCCTCCAGATCTCCTCCAGGGTGCGGCCCCCGAAGCAGGGCCCGGGAACCACAGGCTTGGCGGGGCAGCTCTCCTCCGGGGCTGGCAGCGGCGCGGGTGGCAGCTGGGGCTTCCTCCTGCGGGCGGCAGTCGCCTGGGCTCCGCGGCGCCTCCTCCTGGCCATGGCGCGCGGTGCCGGCCGGCGCGCCTGGCTGCGGGCAGTGGGGGGTAACGGCGGGTCGGGCACCAGGGCCCGGCAAGAGGAGTAGCCGTAGACGTCCTTGCTGCGCAGGATGTGAGGAGAGAACTGGTGCTTGAGGCTGCAGAGGAAGCTCCAGAGCTCCGCGTCCGAGCTCATGAACTCCGTGCTGCGGGGCATGAAGATCTTGAAGGCGTCGCCCAGCGCCTTGGTGCTGTCAGCCAGCGACAGCTGCGACCGCGAGTACACCACCTTCTCCTCCCGCGCCTCCAGCCCGGCCCCGTCTTCTGCCCTAAAGCCGCCGCCCCGGGCGGCCGCAGCTGGGGCGACCGGGGGACGGCGCCGCCGCCTCTTCATGCTGCGACGCATCCAAGGCCGCTCGGGGCCGCTCGCACTTGCCAAGGGGCTGCTCGTACTCGCCGGTCCCGCTGCCGCCGCTGCCGTCCCACTCCGCGGCGGCTCCGCGGCGGCGGCCGCTGCTGGCGTCTGTAGCTACTTTTCTCGCCTCTGCCGCCGCCCCTCCCCCTCTGAGGGCGGAGGACGCGGGCGAATATCCTGCCGCCCGGTACAAGATGGCGGCCAGCGCCCACCCCTGGGCTTTGTCATTGGACGGCACCTCGCCCCCCTGGTTTCTCTTTCTTCTTCTCTCTTGCCTCTTTTCACCGGCTGCCTTTCTTTAAATGTGCCCGCCTCAGGCCCCTCCCACCACAGCCGCGACTCCACCCATTGGGTGCTCTCAGAAGAGGGGTGGGGACTGATGAGGGAAAGGCCAGTTCCTGGAAGATGGTGCTGGGGTGGGTGATGGTGATGGCCTTTGAACGTAAGTCAGTGGTTGGGTGGTTCTAGGAGGGTTGCAACATCTAGAGTAAGAGGGTGAATGTTGGCTCCACCTTGGGAAGAGAGACTCTTAGAGTGAGGTGGTGTGCAGTTGTGGATTGAGCTGGGAGCTCTACCAGTGTGAACAACAAAGAGATTTGCCTAAAGGATGTTGCTGGTATCACGGCTAGGGAATTTGGGTTTAAGTCTAGGGGAAATGGGCCTTTCACAATTCCCATTCACCCTCTCAAAGGCCTCTTCTGACATCTTCATTCAAAACTCTTCCGTCCTGACCCCAGTCCATCTCAAGAAGCCAGTAGTAATCCAGAATCATTCAGGTAATGTGCGTGGGTGGCAGCTGAGAGAGTGGAGTCTCCCTCTGGACATTGGAGCTATCTTCATATTTAAGAGAGACTCTGCTTATCCAGAAAGCAAAGCATCTCATACCCTATAAAACTAACTACTCTTTACTCAAATTGATCAAAGATCAAGTGCAATAAAGCCATTCTGTGTAAAAAAAAAAAAAAATACATACATATATATATATAGTTTTAAATACACAGCTCTTTAAGAGTGCCAGTTCATTTTTCATTTAGTTTTAAAATGTCAGAGCCATCCCTATCATTTAGAAAGGATGCATCATTGCAAACAATACATAAGTTTTTGTTGAAAAACATTAAGAACACATTACCTTTTGTATTGGGAGGAGAGTTGGGGACATTCTTTAGTCATCTTTCTGTCCTCTATACCTAACTCAATTCCTGTCAGGTAGTGGGTACTCAATGTGTTTGCTGAATGAATCAATGAAATACCACTGCTTATCCCAAATGGAGTCAGAAATTGCTTAGAACAGGACAATTTTATATTGTATATTTATATTGCTATTTTCACAGAACTCCTTTAAATTTCTTAAGGTTAAAAAAAAATCTCCAGACACTTTTTGAGGTAGGCATGTGAATTTTACCCAGGAAGCATCTTATTTTGCAGCAATGAACAAATAAAGCACGGAAGTTTTGTGATTTACATATAGTTGCTAATGGTTTCCTCAAATATTGGAGCTGAAAGAGACCTAGTTCAGTCTCCTTATTTAACATATGAGGAAATCTGTACCAGTAGAGGTTCGGTAATACAGCTTGCTGATAGCAGAACTGGGATTCTAAATCTTTCCATTTCTAAGCTAGTGATCTTTGTATTTCACTGGAGGTTTTTCAAACTGTGTTGTCCAGACTCTAAAGAATTCAACAGAACATGCTTTATGCATGAGTGGAATGACCAAGGACAGAGCTGTACCCCTACACCTACTTCTACCCCACCCAGAATTGAGCAGTTTTTCTCTGTCTCATAATGGGTTTATGAATAATATTTTGTTTGTTCAGTTTCAATAAAACCTAAAGTAAATAATTTGAAAGCTCTACATCAGAGATTTCAAATTCTTGAAAGCTCTCACCACACAATGAGTTTATGGCAAAAATAAAACTGACCAGGAAACAGCTCTCTACCAAAATCATGGTAACTTTCTGAAGAGAACATCATTTTCCTAGAAAAGCAGACTCTGATCTCAGAACAAGATTACAGATCCAATTACCAGCTTCCTAAATCCTTATAAAAGAATGATATAGCAACAACTCTTTACATCACAATTTGCTCTTTCCATAATTCTGAGAACACATAGTAAAGTAAAATTTGAATAATTTCCACTGGAATACCCCTGCAGATTGACATAGAAAATCACTAAGCTATGCGAAAGTTAGGGGGACTTCATAATGAAAAACGGGGATTAAAGTAGACCGGCTTTTCATATTGGAATCCCCTTCCTTCCTTGATAATCATCATTTTATAAATTCTCCAGGGTCTTTGCCATATATATATATACATACACATATATACATATATATGTACATAAAATATATACATAAATGCCTGGAAAAAATATATATGTATATATATATACATATATATGTGTGTGTACATATATATACATATATATGTGTATATATATACACACATATATACATATATGTGTGTGTGTATATATATATATACACACACATATATACATATATGTGTGTGTATATATATATATACATATATATATGTGTGTGTGTGTGTGTGTGTATATATATATATATTCCAGGCATTTACATAAATGTATAGAACTTATTTCAGTTAAGAAGATAAATCTTTTTTAAACACAATTTTGGTTCTAATAAAACCTAAGATCTCAACAAATTGCCAAATATTCAAGAGTTCATTTTATAATGCATGCCGATTTAATTTACTTAAAACCAAACACTATTTTTTGAAATATTTTTAGGAACTAACATCATGATGAAGTCCTTATGTTATTGTATACTTTTACATTTGACATTATTTGCTCTATTGTGTCTCCTCTATTATTTTTAATTTTTTCTTGACCTCCACCTTTTAATTAACTCTAATAATAGTCTTGCAAATGATTCCTTATTCAATCTGCATTAATGAGCAAAATTTACACATAGAAATAACATATCTATTCTAGTTCCTGAGACTCTCTTGAGATACTAAGAAGTTTATGGAAAGTTGGCAAATTAAATTTTTGCTCCTGAGTAATGATATTTTACAATCCTCAGTTTATTCCTTTACATCTCAAAAATAATGCTTCCTATGTCTGCTAAATGAGTGATAAATAGTAAGAAACAAAAAAGCTGTATTTGTTTTCTGTATTCATAATTTATATAGTTAAAAAATAAATCCAAGTGGAATAAAGTCATGGGAAAAATGTATCTTTTAGCTACCCAGAAGCATTGCTTTAGAATTCAATTTCTATACAATTATTTGCCTCTTGAAAAGTAACCAAAAAAAATTTGAAAACTCTATTTAAGTGGCTGCAAACATCAGCTCTGGAATCAAATAAACTTGGGGTCAATTATATCTTTATAACAAAATATGCTTAGACACACTTTTCAGCTTTCTGAGCCTCAGCATTCTCATCTGTAAAATGAGTGTAAACTCTAACTTCAAAGTTTTAAGAACTGGATGAGAGAATATTCATAAAACACTGTAGTGTCTGGAACATAGCATTCAATAAATAATAGCTATTCCTATTTGTCTTATTTATTTTCGAAGACTTTACTTGGTTTAATCAGCATATTTTAAATCCTGCATTATAGAGTATCTACACATTTTTTTAAAAAGTAGTAGCACTGATGAAAGGAAAATAAAAAACTTTACAGCTAGAAGGAAACTTAAGAGATCATCTAATGAGTCCAACACTGTTAATTCAGACAAGAATTCTGAGATGCCAAGAGATCTGCCCAAGGTCACAGAGCTGAATAGTGGAAAACTTTGAACTAGAACCTACATCTCTTAACTCTAGTTCAGAATTGTTTCTAACATTCTATATTTTGTACTTAATCCAAGGAGATGGCATTAATTGTTAGCTCAAATGATGTTAAATATTGCATGATTCAGCAAGAAAAAATTCAGCCTTGTCATTAGAGCTATTCTAAAAGTAATTTAGATTTTTATATAAAAGTTATCTCAAACCCCAATATGCTCTAAAACTGCTTCATGTGAAATACATAAAGACCATATAAACTGAAACAATAGGACATTCTTTTGCTTATAGGAATACATGTACTTTCCCTATTTTTCCTGTTAATTGCAACTAAAAACCTTGGATGTTATGTATAAAATATATATAAGAAGACTCTGAAAAATGGAGAAGAGAAGGCCGATAGGCTAGAGACCTCAGAGAACCAAAACAAGGGCATGGCAGTGAGTTCCCTGGGTTTCCTTTCTTCATCTGAGACTGAGTGCTAGATAAGCCAGCAACCCAAAAATGCCAACAGATGCCAACATAAAAAGCCCCAACAAAATCTTCTTCTCTAGCTATAGGACCAGGAAAGGAGGGGCAGCCTAACAAAACAGAATGCTTTTAGAAAATAATTTTCCTACTGCTGCAAAACACCACAGGAAAAAAACTATGACTTTTACCCTTGCCGCGCTATAAAAAGGCACCCCCACCACCTCTGCTAGGGTGGTATGAGAGGAGGCTGGCTAAGGAATCAGGGCTTTAATCCTTGCTAGGCAGTAAACAGGCAATCCTTACTGGCAGTGTCAGTGGAGAACATGCGGAAATATAACAAGACAATCCTACCCACCTCCCAAGCCCCAGTGAGAAGCCAGAATTCCCACCCTCATTCAGCAATAATGAGAAGCTCCTTTCCCCAGTTCAGGTGTCAGTGGAAACAGAGAAATCTGGACTCTGACCTGACAGTACTGAGGCAGTGCCCACCCCACCTCCATTAGAACAGTGTCAGAAAACCAGCTACAACAAATTTAAATAAGATCCAAAGTTTATAATGTAACACCCAAAACATTCATGTTTCAATAAGAAATTATTTGCCAGAAAGCCCTCAAACTGAATAAAGATTATCAATAGATGCCAACAATGAGATGAGAAAGATATTAGAATTACATAATAAAGATTATAATTATATAACAAAAGCAGCCATCAAAAAAATATTTCAATAAGCAATTATGAACATTCTTAAAACAAATGAAAAATAAAAAACTACTTCAAAGAAATAGAAAATCTCAGCAAAGAATCAAGTGATATAAAAAAGAACTAGATAAAAATTTTAGAACTGAAAAAAATATATATAACAACCAAAATAAAAAGCTCAGTGGATGGGCTCAGCATTAGAAGAGAGAGGACAGACGAAAGAATTGGTGAACTTAAAGATAGAGTAATAGATATTATTCAATCTGAACAGAGGACAAATAGGCTGGTTTTTTTTAAAGCCTTCAGGGGCCTCTGGGACTATAAGATATAATATTTCTGTCATTAGAGATGTGGAAAGAGAGAAGAAAAAAGATGAGAATGGAA